AAATCTAGTTTTGACATTTGAAGATTGCTCAAACTTTGGACCAGTATTAACAAACTTACGCTTGGCTTCCCACTACTGACCCACAATTGGGCCTATCATCAAGTCCAGCGTTCCCATAGGAAAATGGGTATTGCTAATATGTATGTAAAATGCAAGACATTACTACCTACATTTTCAACAAGTTCTCTAAAAATATGAAATATGGCGTCTATAATTTCAAAATGAAAAAAACTAGTGTTGCCACAAGAAACGACACTAGTGAGAGTTAAGAAATCTTGAAAAGTAAGAAACAATGTTCAATAAATGAGAAGTATAATGAGAAATAATCATAACATTAAAACGGACATCGCAAATTAATTTTTTACACCTTTTTTGAAAAATGAAAGACCTTTTGATCTAAATCCAAATTTGTTTATTATAAATTATTTAAATTTTACACTATTGTAACTATATGATAGGGGAAAATTCACACGAATCTGGTCTTCTTTCACCAAACACTCAGTTCCACATCATCAGTAAAGCTAGTTCAAAATCTGATGTGTCTTCACAAGCGCGAGAGTCGAGCCGCAAATGCATTCATATTGTATTACATCATTACTCATCCACTCTGTACTCCGTACTTAGAACCTAGTGACTACAGCTTGATTCTGTGTTAAAGAATATTTGACTGGAATACATTTGAGTGATGCTAACGTGGTCAAACAAGCGCTTCAACGCTTCTAAACGTCATGGCTATGAATTGATATGACATGGGCATTTGGGCATACAGAGACTGCAACAGTGCCTACAAAAATGCATCGAGTGAAATGGAGATTATGTATAAAAATAGAGGAATGTTCATGCTTTTAAATGCTGTATCAGTTATTAAATAGAAACGTTTCCGTGTATTTCTGAAAATTTTAACTTTTACTTTTTATTTTTGAGATTACCCTGTACTTATATATATATTAAACAATATTTAACATAATTTTTCAATATTTGGAAACTTGTCTGGGTGAAAATAATAAAATCAAGCCAAAGGCAAAAATGACCAGAGAATCGGACCATCTGCGGGAAGGTAGAAGAACCCGAAATATCCTTATTCATTTATACATTCTGTCAGCTTCAATTTAATGAAATGCTACATATGCAATCTTGTATCTGTCGATTCACAAAACTAATCTGACAGATTGCGAAACAAAATTAGCCACAATATCCCAACGCTCATTAGCATATGTGGACAGGTGCATTGATGTAGTGGATATTATATTGATGCTGCAAGTGCCGATGATACCTATGTCTTTTTATTAAGTATGCTTAACGCATAAGACTTAGTACATAAGTAATTTACGAAAAATGTTATCTTATATTAGCATAAGGGTCAAGTTGGAGTATGTAAGTTGCCTAATTCGCCATCTTCCCTCGTAAAACTTGGCGAATTGGTCACCGTATAAAAACTAGATATCAGAGCCGGATTTATATAACTACGGGCTTCTCGGGTTGCAGCTAGGGTTGCCACCCGTACTTTATTATAAAGTATTGTACTCTATTTCGACTGTGCGTACGTTATAATTTACAAGACACATAAAGTACGCAAAAATACTTTATTTAAGGCCTTAAGTAAACATCGTAATTTTGTAAACGATTATTCGAAATTCGGAGTATTTTTACATCGATAATATTGCACAGAAAAATGGCAAGCCATATTTACGGAACAACCTGATCCCCCAAATCTGTTCAAAGTAGTGTCACTTTTGCTGTCCGTTCCGGCCACTTCAGCATTTACAGAAAGAGTATTTCCTGTTATGAACACAAAGTGGCGAGGCGACAGGAATACCTAAAGCTTCATTAAAACTAATTAAAAATGGACTTTTAGTTTACTTAAATTATTGTTTGCTATGTTTAGAGGCTATTAATATATTTAAGAGCGACAGCAATTTGTTACTGGCTGCTAGATGTAACAAAAAATATGTTTTTAAAAACAAAAAATAAAATACTTTATTTTTATGCTGAGTACTTTTTTTTGAACCATTTGGTCGAGAAATACTTTATGTAAAGCCTGAAGAGGTGGCAACCCTAGTTGCAGCCCAGGATCCCGTGGATATGAAGGGTCACTGCCTTCCATTGAAAACAGTGGATAATATCGTGAATTAACAAAATAATAAAATAATCTTAATGTTTTACAATTTATATAACAGAATACTACAAACAATTTCCTCAAGGTCCCCATATTATCGATCCTCCCTTGCCAGGCATAATACAGAATATTTTAGAAATATTTTGTCATGGATATAATGAATTTCATACTGACAATACCCCCCATCTCATGTATTAAGCGTAATCGTAATACCTTGAAAGGCTTAGCGGCTACAAAACCGAATCAGTTGTCTGTGACCTAAACTAATACAAATTATCATACTAAACCTTAGGTCGTCAACTTTATCTAACCGATGATGGGCTAAGTTTAAAATAGGCTTACCGTTTTTTTAAGACTAGGTTCCTAAAAATATTGATACCTCTACAGTTGCAAATTTGAGCTCCATCCATTAGGCAATGGAAACGCCAAGTATAAAATTAGATTATTTCCCAAGCAAAAGCGAAGCTATGTAGAACTATTGACTCAAGTTTATCCCGTTATTTTACTAAAGCAAATCAACTGCTTATCTTCATCTTTATTCATAAGTATTTCGCTAACTTCATACGTACAAATTTTAATATTTGAACATAACTAACAAAAACGAGATTATCATTAATTAATTGAATATAAGATAATCCCAATGAATGTTTTTTGTTGCTTAAGAATCCTCAACAAGTTTGCTTGCCAAAGAAATAGATTCACTGGAATTGAAATGTTTACAGTTATAGATACTTACCTAATTATTATTATACTGATTGTGAGCATGAGTATCTTGAATTTATTGATCCTTCTAGTGCAATTATTTAGTAATAAGTACATGGTAAAGAGCCGTTATCAGCAAATTAATGCCAAAGGTTGATGGCAGTATCACTGAATGATAATAGCAAAGTTGTTTTCCATCAAAATACCCATTAAAGTGCCTACCCATCGTACACAATTTCCTCATTGACAATGTGTTGAATGTAATAAACGGTTACTGTAACGATTAACATGTCTAATTAACCCTTTTGCTACTTCTGCATACCATTAAAACAAGAATTTGAAATCATAGTTTCTTTTTTTTTTTTAATGTTCTTGCCGTCTTCCCGTTGATATCTATAATAACTATTTTAAAATTCATAACTTCACGTCTTTTCATCTGCTTAATACCTTGCCATTCAAATCCTCTTTTTGTGGCGGTAATTATTCATAAACGAGATTAAAAAGCAGAGTAACTGACCTAACTGATCAAACAACAAATGAGTTATGCAAGCAACAAGAGCAACCACACGCACTGTTCTTATGTAATAGTTTCATACGAACAGACTAATATGAAACACATACCTTTAAATAATAACAAGTAATGACCTTTGAAGCTTTATACTTGACAATCTTCATTATTCAGGTTTTAAAAAAATATTTCATAAACGTTAATCTTATACAATAATTGAGTTTATAAATAGCCTACAGACAACGTGATAAACGCCATCTACAGAGAATTGTCACTTAATTGTAGGTCCTATCAGGATTATGGGCCTAAAAAAAAAACTAAAAATCTCCCTGTTAAACACTAATATGCCCATAATTATTCCTAAATCTCTCTAGATGGCGTTCACTACGCTGTCTATGATTCTTCATTAAACGCTGCTGAGTAGCAGCAGCTTACTATCCGACGTGGTGTCGTGATAAGATCGTAATTTATCATTCGCGAGGACATTTTTTTCATCATGTATGTGCCCAAAAATTCAAATTTTTCTGCCGTTTCCTCGGATCGTTTAGGGTAGGTTAGATAAATGAAGGAGCGGTTATTTTCCGCTGATAGAGAGAGTCTTTGTACATTCTACTATCATCGTCTAATTCGACTCGTCTTTCTCTCCCTAATCACCACCACCCACCCATTTCTACAATTCCTAAAGTCAACACTCCTCTTCGCCCCATTGGAACTGTGCAAATCTGTGAGACATCACTGATTAGTATTAGTTGCTGGAAATGAAGCACAATATTCAAATTTAAAATCCTAACTCACACCATGAGCGTTTTTGACAAAGTTGTGACCAAGAACTTATTGGATAAAGTTTGTATTCTAATAATAGAAGCTTTGCTTTGCATTAATTTTATAAAAGGGGAGACAAATTTTTCACGTTGATATGATTTCTATAAACCGAAGTTTTATAAAAATTTACGAGCGGATTACTGCAAAGTTCATGTTTATTGGGAACCATCTTTTTGGGCATAGGTTCTATCTAGATGATAACATCGAACTATTTATAAACTTCAAAATCCATACAAAACCATCCTGTTTGGTTTTTCCCACATCGGTCTGCATAAATTAGTTAGATTCATCATTATCATCATCATAAAGTGGTCACTCTGAATGCACTAACACTCCTTTCTATTTGTATTTCATGAAAACTAGAACATCCCACAACCCTAACTGTTTACAAAAAGTAATCTAACCTGCCATCCTCTACCCTTCTTTATTCCTGTGTGTGTTTCTAATTACCTATGATGTCTTTAACCAGCCGTGTATGTCTCAGAAGGTGTCCTACTATCCTATCTCTCCTATTTCTTGTTGACTTCTATAGCGCCCTCTATTCTTCTACTTTCTCTAATACATCCTTATTTCTAACCTTTCTTATTGACAAAATTTTTATCGTATGCCTACAGATTAATTAATTTAATTTAATTTGTTAAATACAAATTTAAAAGAACCTCAATTTGATATTCTGCAATCAATCTACAATTTCTTCATTTTTGTTACGTATTATTGAAGTTATAGTTTGTTAATAAATTATCATCATTAAACAACTAAAATGCCGCTTGTATAATCACTTATTTTTTCATATAATTTAGTATTTTCCAGTGGTGAAAACAACGTTAATTATGATTTTTCCTTTATTTTCAGATCGAACGAGAAGTAATTTTGTCGAGTGCCGACAAAAACTCAAAAATACCCATTCTTCACGAATACATGAAAAAATCGAAGGGTACAGTTGCACCCGATTTACCACCAAAGCAAATGGCTGCCTGGACTCAAGCCCAAGGTTCTAACTCGCAACAAGTTCCAAGGAATAATTGTGAACAGGTTAGACTCTTTATCTAAACTAAATAAGTATGGATCTTTCTGGGTCTCAATCTTGGCTCTATTCCAAATAGCATCTTCTCCAGATTTTAGGAAAAAGTTCATTTACCCCTGTCCCCTGAAGAAATGTTTTCTAATGCATCCTTCTAATAAATAAGGTGGTCAGTTTAAGTGATACAATACGAACAAATTCTTCTATAAAAAAATAAAATCTATAGCATTAATATCAAACAATGTTCAATTTAACAGTCCAGTTATAGCAAATACCCATTCCAAACCACAGCTTTTTACTTTTTCTTTACACCATTCGCACCCTACTACGACAGAACTCAGAAGAAGGGTAGATTTTTTTATTATGTTATATAGACGAATTAATTTATTTAAGTAATTTTACCCACTACAGATAACCTTAAGTTGATTAATACCTGAATTAACGCTACAAAAAAAATCAAGGTAGGTATGTTGTATTTGACAAATGAGACTTCATCCCCTCTTAAAATTGTGAATATCCCTGGGAACATAAAATCTAAATAACAGAGAGAAAATGACATAAACGTGCCACTTCCATTTTACTATTTTGTACTCATTTCAAGGCGAAGCATCTTGATGTTTTTTACCTTAATTTCAGAAATTTCAGTCGATATTTAAAGCCAAAGCAATTGAATCGTTATGTTAACGATAAAAAATTGAAATTAAAGTAACCCAAATCAACTTAGATTTGTTTTTCATTATTATTATTGGAAGAAATGAAACTTATTTTTTTAATAAGTAAGTTTTTCTATTTACATTTTCAGAAGCACCAAGAGTTTTTTCGATTTCCGATAACCAAATTTTTTTTTCAAATTTTCACTCTTGTTCCGCGAAAAATGTTTTTCTCAAATCACAAAAGCATATTGGGATGGCAAATTTTATAAGGTACCAACAAATTTACTTCTATTCATTTTCAACGTAGATACGATACATCGGCAAAAAACTCAAAAAAAGAGATCCTAATAAGACGTCAGCTTTTCCCTCTGAGTTTTCCTGAATTACGCAATTATTTTTGTACTAGTATCCATCGGAGTTCCTATTCTAAACAACCTTCTAGAAACATTTCAATAAAAATTTACGCTGTGGCTCATAGTCTACACTACACAACTTATCGCGGAGAACATTTAATATGTATGAACCAAGACTAGTTGGGCATGCACCTCCACTCTTTCCTACCCTGAGCTAATCTTCGCATTTCCCCAGAACTAGAACAACCCACATCCTTAACTATTTGCGAACAGTAATCTAATCTAGGTCTACCTCTACCCCTCCTAACTCCTGTTTCTGCCTCTAATATGTCTCTGACTAGACCTTCATGCCTGAGAAGGNAAATCTCCCTGTTAAACACTAATATGCCCATAATTATTCCTAAATCTCTCTAGATGGCGTTCACTACGCTGTCTATGATTCTTCATTAAACGCTGCTGAGTAGCAGCAGCTTACTATCCGACGTGGTGTCGTGATAAGATCGTAATTTATCATTCGCGAGGACATTTTTTTCATCATGTATGTGCCCAAAAATTCAAATTTTTCTGCCGTTTCCTCGGATCGTTTAGGGTAGGTTAGATAAATGAAGGAGCGGTTATTTTCCGCTGATAGAGAGAGTCTTTGTACATTCTACTATCATCGTCTAATTCGACTCGTCTTTCTCTCCCTAATCACCACCACCCACCCATTTCTACAATTCCTAAAGTCAACACTCCTCTTCGCCCCATTGGAACTGTGCAAATCTGTGAGACATCACTGATTAGTATTAGTTGCTGGAAATGAAGCACAATATTCAAATTTAAAATCCTAACTCACACCATGAGCGTTTTTGACAAAGTTGTGACCAAGAACTTATTGGATAAAGTTTGTATTCTAATAATAGAAGCTTTGCTTTGCATTAATTTTATAAAAGGGGAGACAAATTTTTCACGTTGATATGATTTCTATAAACCGAAGTTTTATAAAAATTTACGAGCGGATTACTGCAAAGTTCATGTTTATTGGGAACCATCTTTTTGGGCATAGGTTCTATCTAGATGATAACATCGAACTATTTATAAACTTCAAAATCCATACAAAACCATCCTGTTTGGTTTTTCCCACATCGGTCTGCATAAATTAGTTAGATTCATCATTATCATCATCATAAAGTGGTCACTCTGAATGCACTAACACTCCTTTCTATTTGTATTTCATGAAAACTAGAACATCCCACAACCCTAACTGTTTACAAAAAGTAATCTAACCTGCCATCCTCTACCCTTCTTTATTCCTGTGTGTGTTTCTAATTACCTATGATGTCTTTAACCAGCCGTGTATGTCTCAGAAGGTGTCCTACTATCCTATCTCTCCTATTTCTTGTTGACTTCTATAGCGCCCTCTATTCTTCTACTTTCTCTAATACATCCTTATTTCTAACCTTTCTTATTGACAAAATTTTTATCGTATGCCTACAGATTAATTAATTTAATTTAATTTGTTAAATACAAATTTAAAAGAACCTCAATTTGATATTCTGCAATCAATCTACAATTTCTTCATTTTTGTTACGTATTATTGAAGTTATAGTTTGTTAATAAATTATCATCATTAAACAACTAAAATGCCGCTTGTATAATCACTTATTTTTTCATATAATTTAGTATTTTCCAGTGGTGAAAACAACGTTAATTATGATTTTTCCTTTATTTTCAGATCGAACGAGAAGTAATTTTGTCGAGTGCCGACAAAAACTCAAAAATACCCATTCTTCACGAATACATGAAAAAATCGAAGGGTACAGTTGCACCCGATTTACCACCAAAGCAAATGGCTGCCTGGACTCAAGCCCAAGGTTCTAACTCGCAACAAGTTCCAAGGAATAATTGTGAACAGGTTAGACTCTTTATCTAAACTAAATAAGTATGGATCTTTCTGGGTCTCAATCTTGGCTCTATTCCAAATAGCATCTTCTCCAGATTTTAGGAAAAAGTTCATTTACCCCTGTCCCCTGAAGAAATGTTTTCTAATGCATCCTTCTAATAAATAAGGTGGTCAGTTTAAGTGATACAATACGAACAAATTCTTCTATAAAAAAATAAAATCTATAGCATTAATATCAAACAATGTTCAATTTAACAGTCCAGTTATAGCAAATACCCATTCCAAACCACAGCTTTTTACTTTTTCTTTACACCATTCGCACCCTACTACGACAGAACTCAGAAGAAGGGTAGATTTTTTTATTATGTTATATAGACGAATTAATTTATTTAAGTAATTTTACCCACTACAGATAACCTTAAGTTGATTAATACCTGAATTAACGCTACAAAAAAAATCAAGGTAGGTATGTTGTATTTGACAAATGAGACTTCATCCCCTCTTAAAATTGTGAATATCCCTGGGAACATAAAATCTAAATAACAGAGAGAAAATGACATAAACGTGCCACTTCCATTTTACTATTTTGTACTCATTTCAAGGCGAAGCATCTTGATGTTTTTTACCTTAATTTCAGAAATTTCAGTCGATATTTAAAGCCAAAGCAATTGAATCGTTATGTTAACGATAAAAAATTGAAATTAAAGTAACCCAAATCAACTTAGATTTGTTTTTCATTATTATTATTGGAAGAAATGAAACTTATTTTTTTAATAAGTAAGTTTTTCTATTTACATTTTCAGAAGCACCAAGAGTTTTTTCGATTTCCGATAACCAAATTTTTTTTTCAAATTTTCACTCTTGTTCCGCGAAAAATGTTTTTCTCAAATCACAAAAGCATATTGGGATGGCAAATTTTATAAGGTACCAACAAATTTACTTCTATTCATTTTCAACGTAGATACGATACATCGGCAAAAAACTCAAAAAAAGAGATCCTAATAAGACGTCAGCTTTTCCCTCTGAGTTTTCCTGAATTACGCAATTATTTTTGTACTAGTATCCATCGGAGTTCCTATTCTAAACAACCTTCTAGAAACATTTCAATAAAAATTTACGCTGTGGCTCATAGTCTACACTACACAACTTATCGCGGAGAACATTTAATATGTATGAACCAAGACTAGTTGGGCATGCACCTCCACTCTTTCCTACCCTGAGCTAATCTTCGCATTTCCCCAGAACTAGAACAACCCACATCCTTAACTATTTGCAAACAGTAATCTAATCTAGGTCTACCTCTATCCCTCCTATCTCCCGTTTCTGCCTCTAATATGTCTCTGACTAGACCTTCCTCACTGAGAAGGTGTCCTACCAACCTATCTCACCTATTTTTTATTGACTTCCATAGAGTCCTCTGTTCTCCTATTCTTTCTAGTACCTCTTCATTTCTAACCTTCTCTATCCACGGTATCCTCATAATTCGCCTGTAACATCACATTTCGAAAGCTTCTAACCTTTTCTTTTCCATGTTTCGCACCCTAACAGCGCCGCGCTCCAAACGTACACCTTTAACAACCTTTTTCGAATTTCTTAATTAACCGTTTGTGAGTATAGAAGTGACTTCTTTTTATTGAAGGCGACACGACCCTGCGCTATCCTCTGCTTTATATCCCTACTACTCACTCCTTCCGTTCTAACTAATCTGACTTCCCAGATACCTAAAATCAGCCACCATTCAAAGGATAACGACTAGACATCTACTATAGGGTTGTTCGGAAAGTCATTTCGTTTTTTCCCGACAGAGGATTTAATTGTATTCTTTTGCACCCAACTTCACATTTAAGCCGTATAATTTTTATATGCTTTGAGAGCTCATATAGCAAGGCTTGTGTGTGAAAAATTCCAATTAATTCTACGCAGTAGTTTTTGGTTGGTGCCCTTTTAAATATGGAGAGCGATAAGCAGCATTTTCGACATATCTTACTGTTTTACTACAGAAAGGGTAAAAATGCTGTTCAAGCCAGAAAGAAATTGACTGATGTGTATGGAGAAGGTGTGTTGACAGTACGCCAGTGCCAGAACTGGTTCGCTAAATTTCGATCCGGCAATTTTGATGTCGA